GCAGCCACAGAGGAGAAGGCTCCAGCTGGTGAGACCCCCTGGGGGCTGCCAGGACTGCCAGGGGCCTGGCAGAAAGCTGGGGGGGGGGACTTTTGAGCAGGGACTGTTGGGACAGGACAAGTAGTGATGGTTTGGAACCAAAAGAGGGAAATTTAGACTAGAGAGAAGGAAAACTAGATGTTTTTTACACTGGGGTGGTGAGACCCTGGCCCAAGTTGCCCAGAGCCCCAGCTGGACTCTCCCCTGCCTCAAGGGCACCTCAGGACAACCCCAGCAGAGGAGAAACTTGAACATGGGGCTGCTTGGGGCACATCTCATGATCCACTCACCAGTCTCACTCCAGAGTCTCCCAAAGCATCCTCTTGTTCTGCTCCATCTACCTCTTCCCCAGGAGCTCGATGCTGGGGCTGTGCCATGGGGGGGGGTTCCTACACCCCCCAAATTCTCTTCTCCAACAGGCTGGTGCAGCTGCTCTCCTGACCTGTCTTCTGCCTCAGGTCAGAAAGACACTGTGTGTCCAAAGTCATGTGAAAGAAGCAGGTACAGAGGTGGAACTAGGAATCAGGAGTTTTATTTCATGGTATGGACATGCTCCAGGGACACAATACTGAGATATATACAGTGTAATGAATTAATCAAACACCATAGTTGGAAATAAAGAGTTAGAAAAACAATAAATAGGAAGACAAACCCTAGAACCAGACAAGCAGTTTCTCCTGTGTACAGGACTGGCTGAGCAGGAGGGTGGAGGTTGGACATGTGCAGAGTGTCAGCAGAGAAAGGCACTAGGGACCATTTTCCCCTCCTCTTAAAGGATCAGGAACAAGTTAAATATGAAATAATTCATTTACACAACATTAAACAACATAAAAGCATCAAATCTCAATGCCAAGGTCAGTGTTCTGGAATGAGGGGAATCTCCTGGTAGCCAGACAGAGATGAGCACAATGTCTGTGCTATGGAAGGATGATTTTGGATAAATACTCTAAGCACATACTGACCTGGGATGAGAAGAGCTGTACTGAGCTCTTAAAAACCACACAAACCAAGCCCCTTCCTCATCTAAACACGTTGTGGACCCATCAGACATCCACAGATTGCCCAGGGCTGCAGAGAGGGCCCTGCACACACCAGACTCCCTGGTCCTGAGGAAGTTCCCAGAACTCCAGCTGAACACCATGCCCATCAGTATTCCACTCTAAAGTCCTCTTTTAAGAGCAGACTACTCATTCCCCAAGCCCCTCTAGCAGACTACAACCAGTTCCTCCAATTAAAGGCATGTGAGCAATTATTCCTTGTTCTCCATGCCCTGTTGCTCAGTTTCACTCTAAAGTCCTCTTTTAAGAGCAGATTACTCATTCCCCAAGCCCCTCCAGCAGACTACAACCAGATTCTCCAATTAAAAGTTGTGTGAGCAATTATTTCTTGATCTCCATGCCCTGTTGCTCAGTTAAATGTGCCAAGTGTGGCCTCCAGCAGCAGGAGTTACACCACAAAGCCTTGACAGGTGGCTTTCCACTACTTCAGATGCAGTGTCATGGTTCTCAGGAGGATCTTTAAGCCACTGATGTCTGTCAGGTCCACAAATTTTCAGCTGTCTCTTTAAAGCACAGTTCTGAGAACCTCTCCTAAAAACAGATGGCTCAGCACAGAGGGAATGGAATGGCCAGCACTGGTTCTGGGGAGGAGCACAGGCCCCTCTGCTCAGCTGAGGGCTAAGGCTTAAGACAAAAAAAAACACATTCAAGCCATTTTCAGTCTGTCTTGTTCAAGGAGGATGGAGCAGGAGATAGCTCAGCTCTATCCAAGCATGCTCAAAGCAAGGTCAGCTCTTCAAGAGCATGACCACAGCTTAGATCAACAGCTTCAATTCTTTGCCTCTTTCTCAACTTTTAACTATAAATACTTCACAAGAATGTTTCTGTGATGGCAAACCTGACTCTGGACACCTAAAGAGCCATCTTGTTCCTTCTGCCATGCTCAAGCTGTGAGCACTAACAGGAGAAGCAGAGTCCTTTTTACACCTCTAGGCAACACGAAGCTCCTGTGGAGTTACAGGAATTACCACCCCCCTGGCATGGAGCTGTTGAGATGCCTGGAGCAGAGGCACTCCAGCAGGAGATAAAGCACACACAGTCCAAAGGAGAAGCATTGTCTGTGACACAAAAGCAATGTATTAAAGTGATACGTGTCCATTAGCAGCATAAACATCAAAGAAAAAGAGCAGCCACCAAAAATAAAGGGTTATTAGAGACCAGAATTATTTTTTTCCCCCCCCCTCTTATCAGAGCACAGCCAGAAACCAGAGATGATACAGTTTAGACAGGAACACAAACAGCACTGGCTCTTTCAGGGGAAGGTTCTGTTGTGGGGAATTGGGCAAGTCATGCCTGTTTTCATACAGGCAGGGCAAATCCAGCCTCAGTTCAGAGCACTGCTCCAGTGGCAAAGGGAGCCACACTGCTCAGAGGCCCCAGGCTGAAGCCAAGTCCTAGTGTTAGAGCACTCCCCTTGAACAGCCCCTGCTGTTCAGCTCACAAAATTCACACACATTTTAAAAAAAATTGCAGCTCAGAAGCATAAAAAGCAGCCAAAGCAAAGCCACGAGTCAGCCTGAGGAGGGAAAACAGGACAACTGCCTTTGGATCAAAGGCCTCACTCTCCACAGTGCCTGTGGATTGTGTCAAAATCAACCAAAAACAAAAAAAGCACTACCCAGAGACACTTGTTTCCTCTTGTGCTGGATCAGAGCAAGGCCCCTTCCCAGGAGCTTCAGGCTTTTGTAGTCCATTTTTTCCCTAGCCCAGTGTTTTTTTTGTCCAGCACCAGAGGGGCTGTGTCTGATCCACACCACCACCACCAGGATGAGAGTGGAAAGAAAAGGGTTTGATGCTCTCCCAGGTCTGCAGCAGCCACATCCACACACAGAGCAGTGCAATGGGACAAGAGGGAGAGCTGCCAGGCATGTGCAAAGCAGGGCAGAGAGCTGACTTACCAGCCTCAGAGTTTAAGGATTTCATCAACTGTTTGGAGCTAACCTGTCTAAGTGCCTCAACACACATCTAGAACTTATGCTCTATACATTTCAACAAGGATTGCCAACAACAGTTCCCCTGCACAACACATTTAACACATGGAATTTCACAACCATCAGATATACCAGCTGAATATTATGTTAATATAACATACAATATACAGGCAACTAAGGAAAACAAAAAAAATACATATTTTTGTTTAAATAAAGCTCCATACCAGTGAGGTATGGATTTTAAGAGCCAGGTCAAACTGTGCCACCTCTTGGATTCCAAATTCTGGCCCAACCTTCTACACTCACTGATTTTGAACAGGTCACACCTACTGCAGCAGAGAGTCAAGGACGGCTCCTGGCTTTGCTGAACGTTTTCTGTTTGGAGAGCAGAAAGGAAAGGGGAGAGGGGGGGAAAAAAAATAACACCACACACACATCACTATGCTGTGTAGGAAAGAGAGGGACCAGAAGCATCAGGGGTCAGAACTACAGTGTTTTACTCTTCCACAAGTGTTTACCAAAAGCAGCCAAACAAATAGAACCAGGCTGAAATCTCCTCCAGCAGCGTGTTACTGCCCAGAACTAGCAGCACATGCACTGTCACAGTAGGTCAGGGGTTAAACTGGACCCCAGAATGCAATAAAATAAAGCAAAAAGCCAAGAGAGGGGAATGCAGCAGAAGGGCATCAGAAAAAAAATCCCCAGACAAGTCTTTCTGGACAGGGTTTTACTGCAGTAGAGAGATTTCAGCTTGGTTCTGTCACTCTGCACTGGTAAACTTCATACCCTGCAAAATCTTAGCAATTTGTCTGTTCATTAAGGAAGTATTTGAAGGCTTCTGGTAAGTTTGCCTACCCAAACTTAAGCCTTCCCCTGGGTAAATCCCCCATTCCATAAAGATACCCCAAAGTCCTTCACCTTCTACCCGTCTTGGGCCTGGATCTTCCTTTTGAAGTCCTGGGCCTCTCCAGCTTCATCAGCGACTGCCTCAAGCTTTCCTCAGTGTAAGCTAAGTAAACATGGGAAAGGTCCACCTCAAAGGGCTAAAAAACACAACAACAGAGAGACACCCCACAAAAAAAACATCAGAATCATTTGACACATTGATGTACAGTGCTTCTCTAGCCCTGGGAAGACTCACCTCCTCCAGAGGAAAGGGTTTTCCCTGGGCAGCTGCCCTCTCAAGAGGCAGTGGTGGGCACAGGCCCCAGGGCTGAGGCCCCTGCAGGGCAGGGCAGGGTTATAAAGAGTCACTCACATCTTTTTCTTTTTTATCCAGGACGGGCGTCTGTTTCCTCATGTTGTTTCCTGTATAAGCCACACATTTCTGGAAGAAGGAAAGGTCTGTGAGTGAAGCCTGCACAATAAAACTGGCTGCAGCTTTTTCAGTTCAGTCCTGGGCTGAAGGAAGGGCTCAGCAGCTCATGGTGACCTCAGCCCAGGCCCTGACCTACCAGCTGCCACTCGCCGATGTCCTCGTTCCAGTGGACGTAGTGTTCAATCATTTCCTGCAGAGAGAGCAGAGCAGGGATCCTTACAGCCTCACACCATCTGCTCCACACAGCCCTCCAGGCCTGGGCAAGTTGCTTAAGGGCAGCCTTGCCCCCTTCAAGTTGTTTTCACCAGGATAGAATCACAGAGAATCAAAAAATTACTCACTGAATTAAAAAAAAACCACACCAGTCCCAAGTTGTAGGCACTGGAGTTGCCACTAAAGCACTGGGTGTCCCATCAGGTAAACATTTTGTCACTTGGAAAAAGTGACAGCTTAAAGGAAATAGATTTTGTGTGTTTATTAAATAGTATTAATCACACTTGAGCTCATCTTGAATTCTCTGGATATTGGTGTCACAAAGGAAACCAGAAGCAGAGTTCCAAGCTCACTGTTACTACTTTGTATTAATATCAGACACAAACAACTTCCAGCCCAGTGGAAAAAGAGGTTTTGAGCAGCCCCAGAGCATGGGCACACTGCAAGCACAGCAGTTCAATGCACAGGGAATGCCATTTGTTCTTTTTTTAAGCCATTAGGAAGTTAGGCTGCAGAAGAACTGTGTGATTAGTGCATCCTCTGCTCCCACCCCCTGGCACATTACACACTGCCTGCCTACAACAGATCCCCTAACCACAGTTATCAGGACTACAAGAACCACAGCTCAGCATTGTGCTGGTTTTGGAGCCAAGTGCACCCACCAGCTCTGATCTCCTTCCAACCAGAACTCCTCCAGGTGCCAGGAGTCACCTGACAGAGCCATCCTTTCCTCCTTGAACATCCCCTGGTCCTCACCACCCGGGCAGTGCCACGAACGTGGCTGTCCCCAAGCAGCCCCAAAGGCTCACAGCAGCACTGACATTTCCACCACAGCTCAGCAGCCCAGAGTCCAAGCACCCCCTGGGAACAGGCAGCTCGTTCTGTGTGGGGACAGGGGGCTCAGGGTGTGCTGCACACCCCCAAGCCCACAGGCTCCATGCTTACCTGGTAGTCCTGAGGGATGAAGTTGTCAATGATGAGGATCTGGAGGCGAAGCTCCCGGCTCAGCTGCCGGATGTTCTCCAGGAGTCCCTCAATCTCCCTCTGGTGCTCTTGTTGCAGGTCTGCCATCTGGAGACAAACATTTGAGAGGCAGAGCTAGCTTAAAACATGGGCACAGCCTAAAAAAAACACAACAGTCTTCTGCCTACACGAGGTTTTGGTGAAACAAAAGCAAACTCTGGTTACAAGGACTAGAATGTTTAGATCTGAAGAATAAACCCTGTGAGAAGTTCCAGCTCAGAGATGGCTGAAAATAGCATTCAAGTTGTTTTATAAAAACTAAACTGGCCTCCTGCCAATCCAAGCTCTGCACCAGCTGAGAGCAGATGAAGAGCATGCAGACAAGTTATAACCCTGGCAAGACTTCAAGGAAAAATCTCTGATCCCAAAGACAAAATGCATTTTTCATCTAACAGGAACTCCCAGCACCAGCCCAAGGACACCCTGATCCAGGGACTGAGGACAGACAGCCAGGGAGGACAGAGAGCTGAGAGCAGAGGAGCATCTGGGCTGCTGCAGAGCAAGAGACTGGGCTGCCAGCAAGCAACTTTCACTTGGTTTCAGAAACAGCCAGGACTTTTCCTGGAGGTTCTCAGTATCTCAGGGTCTCACACCTCAGCCTGGCTTGGGAAAAAGCTCTGCAAGGTGCCCCCGGGCAGCTCTGGCACCAGAATTCCTCACATCTCTCTGAACTACACGAGCCAGAAGCACAGCATAGACATTTCTAAGTATAAGGCACTTTTTTTGGGTGTGAGAGCTGCTGGCTTACCCTTCCCAGCCTCAGCTCCTCATGTGATCACACACCAAGGACCTCAGACACTAACCTCTGATTTTGCAGCCATAAGCATTGTCCAAACTTTCTTCAGCTTTTTGGTTTTGCCCTGTGCCTCTTCCTGGAGGCTGGTGTACTTCTCCTCAATGTCCAGGCGTTCTTGCTGCATGCAACAATTACCACAGACACCCACATGTTAACAAACCCCAATCAATTAGCTGCAACAGCATAAACAAGAGGAGAAACTACCTGAACAAGCCAAAGGGCACAGAGACCTGGCTTAGCCAGGCTGGCTCAGACCCACAGGGATCACACAGCCAATGCAGGGCCTCCAAAGTGGTTGGAATCATAGAATCACAGACTGGTTTGGGCTGAGAGGGACCAGTCATGGTCATCTAACCCAACCCCCCTGCAGGGACAGGGACATCTGCAGCTAGAGCAGGGTGCTCAGAGCCCCAACCTCCCCTGGGATGGTTCCAGGGATGGGCAGTGACCACCTCTCTGGGTGACCTGGACCAGAGGCTCAACACCCTCAGGGTCAACAATTTCTTCCTTCTTGCTAGTCTAAGTTTCCCTCCTGAATTAAACCCAACACCCCTTGTCCTGTCCCAACAGGCCCTACTAAAAAGTCTGTCCCAGCTCTGTGACAGGCCCTGTTAAGTCCTGAAGGGCTGCTAGAAGCTCTCCCCAGAGCTTTTTCTTCAGGCTGCCCCAGCCCAACTCTCTCCTGCTGGGCTCCCAGCAGAGGGGTTCCCCCCTTGGGGCATTGCTGGGGCTCCTCTGGACCTGCTCCAACAGGTTAGTTTCTGCTGTGCTCTCAGAGCAGAGCCACATTTCACCCCCAGGAGCAATGCCAACCCCTCAGACAGCTGCAGCCCAACCTCACCTCCTTCTCCTCCAGCTCCTTGCGAAGCTGCTCTGCTCTCTTCCTCCTTTCTTCCAGTTCCATATTTGATTCCTCCAGCAGCTTCTCCTGCTCCTCTGCTTTGGCCAGCAAGTCCACTCCTCCAACAATCACCTTCTTCTCCAGTGCAGACAGCTTCTCCAGCAAGGACTGGTGCTCTTGTCTGGAGAGAGAGGTGAGAGTAAAGCTTCCCATCCTGCAGAGCTCCCAAGGCAGCAGGTCCAGCTCTGCTTTACAGCCCAGGCAGCCTCCACAGGGCTGGAAAAACTTGTCTTGCTGCTGAGGGTTTAAGTGAGGGTGAGGCAGCACAAGCAAATGTAGGGAGTTTCCTGAGCTCCAGCTCCCTCAGAAGCAAAACAGGATCAGCAGAGAAGCCTCTCCAGCCATGAGGCCCCTCCATGAGGGCCTGAGAGGCCGTGGTGCTGTCACCAGGCTGCCCTCAGCACCCTCCCAAGGGCACTGCCACTCCAGCAGAGTCCAGAGGCAGCTGCAGAAATGGAAGGGAGAGGGCAGAGATGGAGACAGGGCAGCTGAGAGGCAAGCCAGGAGCAGCCTGACAGCAGGACTGTCCTACTTGCATGGGCAAGTGTCATCTCAGTAGCTTTTCAGCTGAGGAAAGGAGAATCCCTACAGCCCAAGTGAGACACATGCCAGAGTGCTGCAGGAAACCCAGCCAAACACACAGCACTGCTGCTCCACACAGCTCTCCAGGGTCTGGAGGACTCTTATGTTTCTAGGCTATCTTGCTCAGCTAAAGGTAAGAGAAGAAAGAAGTGGCAAAAGGATAAAGTTTGTCTTTTCCAACTGCCCTAACCTCTGAAGGCAGAGCAAGCTCCTCCTTCACTCTGGCAATAGCAAGAGCTGTTTGACAGGCCCCTCACCCTGCACCTCCAGACATCCCCTCCTGAGGGGCAGACCAAGGACAGAAAACCCCCCCATGGCCACACAAACTGCTCAGAGCAGGGGACTCACTGAGCTTTAAGCAAGTCTTTTTCTCTTTTCTCCAGTTCAGCTCTGGCTTTATTTCTTTCTTCTTCTTCCATATCAAGCTTAGTTTCAAGAGCTTTTCTCTCCTCTTCAATCTTTGCTTGCATCTCTACCATCTTATCAGGGGAAACTTTCTTTTTGCCTTTGGAAAAGACAGGGAAAACAAATCAATGCACAGAACAAGCAGCTGCCCTCTGCACCACAGCATTTTTGCCAAGTTCAGACTCCACACTTGCATTTAATTAAAGTTTAATTAGATGTGCCTAGCTGGGGGCTGACAACTGGGACTTTTCAAACCCCACTTTAACACTGACCAGTTGTCACCAGTGCCTCCAGAGGAACACTGTACAACTCACACTGGGACACACACAAAGCATGCAAAGAACACCTGGACAAGGAACTCTGCCTGAAGAGAAGTCTGAGCTGGGAACTGGGATGTTCTCCTGATGTAGATGAGGGCAAAGGCAAACAGCAGACTGCCCTCACCTACAGCTGCAAGAGCTGAACCCCCAGGAGTTAAATTTCACAGCAGCATTCCCACCACACCCCTCCCTTCACTGGCCTCACCTACTGCAAAGCAAGCATGGAGAGATTTTAAGGACACACTGCTATGAAAATACAGAGACTAGGGAAATTCAGAACCACCCTTATGAAAAACAGGCAATTAAACACTTTTTTGGTGGTGTTTGATCTAGCTAACAGTGACTCCCCACAGAAAGCACTGAGGTTTGCTGCAGCTCATCAGCTGAGCCTCTAAAACATTGCTGCTGCTACAGCACAGCAGGCACACTTCACAGAGGGTTACAGAGGAAGTGATCAGAGCTCCTCACTGAACCTGTGCCCTGGAGGGTGAGTCCCAAACACCCCCGTGCTTTTGAATCACAAAAAGGGTGAGGTGGATGCTCTTTGGAAGTCATCCCACGGAGTCTGGAGCCAACTTTCATTGTGAGCCCTAAGGCAGGTGAACCCAGAGCTCCCTGGGGGTGGTTTGGAGGAGAAAGCACCCAGTCTACAGGCCTTCCTTCAGATCCACAAGCCACCCACAAGCCTTAAGTCTTCCCCTCAGTCACTATGAGCAAATCCTTTTCTTGTTTTGTTTGCCCTTCTCCAGACATAGAAAAAATCCCTCAGCCTAGAAATGAATAGAAGCCATCAGGTGCCAAGAGACTTTCAGTGACACAGTGCAGATGGTCAGAAGGTGCTCAAGGAAGCTGCTCAGGTAAAAGGCTTCTCTTCCTCCAGTCCTCCTGGCACTCAACATGACACAGGCATCCAGATGTCCCTCCAGCAGGCAGAGAAAATTCACTGTGCTTATAAACATGTGCACATCTCACTATCCAGGTTGTTCCTGTGCTGGAGAAGGAATTTGGTTTGTGTCAAGGGCTTCAGCACTGGAGCAAACCATGTCTTGCTCTCCATCTGCTACCCTTTGGAATCAGGCAACAAGCACTTGTGGATTGGTCTGAGTGAGAGACTGACAGTGCTACAGAGCTCAGCATATGAGCAGAGATAAGCCAGATCAAGGCTTCTTACTGTTAGTGCACAGCCCTGGATGATTCTCAGGTGAGGAGAAAAAGGTGAAGTGAGCCAAAGGGGCCAGAGCTCTGCAGCTGTATTATAAAGAGGTGGAAATCAATGACACCAACCTGCTTGATCTTGCATTAAGAGGAAGCAGAAAGCAAGTCGTAGAGAGGCAGCAGACACATGAAAAGAGGAGGAAAGAAAATATGTTATTGTTTTCATCATTTTGGACCAACATCAGCCTCAGAACAAAGGTTAATTTTATACATGTTTCTAGCCCAGAAAATTCTTACTACAGGATAATCATCAGCAGAACAACTCCATCCCAGCACACGTTAATGCATCGTGGGTTTATGCTAAAGCAGAGAGAGTTTCTGCACTCCAGAGTGCTTTGCATGTCCAGGACACTCTCCAGCACACACTTGGGCTCTTCTGCCCTCTCAGTGCAATGCAGAATCTAGAGGGGAAGGTTAGGAGCCTGCCACAAGGATCATGCCCTAAGAAACAATTCCAGAGGGTAGATTTCCTCAAGAGGAGACTCAGCACTTCCCCCCCCACTCCAGACATCCAGTTCTCTTGGATTACCTGTGAAACACTGGCACACAGAAGACTCAAGAGTTCTAAGTTTTAACCAGGTGCCCAGGCCAATGTTTGCCCCCCAGGACTCAGCACAGGCTAGCTCCATTTCATTACAGAGGGATGAGCAGGTTGCTCTGCAGTCACTGGTGCTTCCACAGAGGTACAGAGCCAGGTTTGGGGGTTCAAGCAAGAGCAGCAGCAAAGGCAGGATGGGAAAAGGATCATGAAAGGTGCCACATGCAGAAGGGTCACACTCGAGGACAGTTAATACTCCAAACCACACTCAGCTAATCACCAAGAGCCCAGTGCAGCCTCCACACCAGAGCTGTCTCCAGACCAGCAGGGGATGGACTCATCCACCCCTGCTCCAGCAGCAGTTTGCTATTAACTGTCCTCACCCAAATAAAACACTCAGGTTTCAAGCAAGCTTTGAAAGGGCAAGTTTGAAGCAAGCAGATCTCCACACCTACCATCCAATGACCCACTCCAGGTGTCCCTTGGGTTGGGACCCTCCTTAACCTGCCCTATTTGCTCTGAGCTGATGCTTTCCACTGTTGTAGTTAGCATAAATCTGACTGAAATATAACTATCTAGCAATACTTTCCAGGTTGGTCACAACAATGGGTGAAGTCCCCAAAAGCCAGGTCCTGACATGGAATTTGTTTCAGTCATCACTGACTGTTGGGTTTTTAACAGGCTTTCTTCACTACTACACCAAAATCTAGATACCTTGTTCCTCTGAACAAAGTCCCACAGTGACCAGGAACTTAATGACATGGGGCAGTTAAACCAAACACCACTGAGGACTTCTGGCTTTATTTTGGCAGATGTTTAAACAATCAACCAAGTATCACCATATTTTCCTTGCAAATACAAATCTCATGTTGCTTGATCCTTGACTGCTCTGTTCATCTTCTCCAAAATTGGTTTTGAGGAGGCAAAGTCCAACATAACACACTGGACAACCCATCTTACCTGCTTAGCTCTCTCCTTTAAGAACTCCTATTGTAGCAACACCCATTAAAAACTTAGCTCTGACTTTTTCCTGGTATTTTAGAGGGAGTGTTTAACACAGAGCTTGCAGACTGTCTTGGTTAACCTATTATTTCTCAATAGTCTTTAAATCTTGTTAGAATGATAGAATGGTTCTAGTTGAACAGACCTTTAAGATCAAGTCCCACCACTGCCCCATGTCCCTCCAGCTCCACAGCTTGGAAACCCCTCCAGGGGTGGGGACTCCACCACTGCCCTGGGCAACTCCTTTGGGGAAGAAACTGTTCCTTGTGTCCAACCTCAACCTCCCCTGGGACAACTTGAGGCTGTTTTCTCCTGTCTTCCCACTTGTTCCTTGGGAGGAGAGACCTACAGAATCATGTTCAGGCAGCACACTAAATTCCTTCCTATCCTCTCCCCTACCTGGCCAACCACAGGCACACTGAGCAAGTGTTTCAGGCATGGAAGCAGCAAAAGCCAGGCATGCTTCAGCAGAGCTAAAAGCTCAGGTTTAGCTTTCCAGACACAGCAGGGTAGAGTGCAGCATGGCAAAATGGAGTGTGCAGGCTACAGAGAGGCCAAAGCTTAAAGGACTGAAGAGCTCCCACTCACTAGTGAAGGACTTATCCAGAGGTTTCTCTATGACAGAGCATGTGGAGTCTGAACTACTGCTGCTGCTACTGCCTGGAAAACAGAAATGTGTCCCACAGAAACACCCAGAGAGGAAGAAACATGCAGATGGGAAGTTAGTTCTAAAAGAAAGTAAACCCAGAAGAGCCAGCAACCTAGTTCAGGAAGGCAGATGTTCCCATCAGGAAGCACTGGGACCCCTCCCAGCCTCAGCTCACCAAGCTGCTGTGTCCCAGCACAGCATGGCATGCTCAGAAAGGCTCCAGGTAGAACCCCTCTGACCCAGCCTGCAGCTTCACACAACATGCCAGCTCATGACAAGGTGAAAAACTAAATTGTTACAACTAATAAAGGCATGACAGGAGCCACTTTGACTCTACTAGGACAGTTACCAAAGTGAAGAGACTGTATCTAAAGCAGAAATGCTTTAGCAGCAGTTTTAAAAATAGCTGTGAGTGTTTCAGGAGAGGAAGGCAGTTTGAGTGTCAAAAATTAGTTTACTAGAGAAGCTGGAAGATGAGGTGTAGCATTGGGATTGACTTCTCTACTCCCCAGGAAGAAACAGAGAGGTTCTAGGGGCACAGGAAGCTCTGTGGAAGCCACAGCATCCCACAGTACAGTGACCTGCAGGTCTAAAGTCCAGCAACAGCCCCTGGGGTTCAGATGTTAGGCAGCACTTTAGCACTGGTGTAGGACAAAGCAAACTTCACCCTGGAATTTCCAGAGCACTCCCAAGCAAGGGATGTGCAGCTGCCAGCCAACTTTTCAGCTTGCACAAAGACACCCAAAGATCAAGTTTTACTCTATCAACAGAACACAGGACAGCAGAAGGGTCAGCTCCTAAAGATCCTAAAGACACGAATCCTTTGCCAAAACCACAGCCAGAGTTCCCCCTCTGACCATCCCGTGGCTATAAACCCCACAGCTGCCTACCATTGATCTTTGGTGCCTTCCTCCCACCTCTGTGAGCAGGGGAAGTTCCACCACCCCAGCCCAGGCACAAGCCATTCCCAGGCACCCTGCGGGAGCCGCAGCCACTGCACAGGCCCCGGCTGTGCCCCCAGGGGACAGCAGCACGGCTTTGTCTCTAGGAGAAGCACGATGATGGCAGCACAGCAGGGCAGCTCTGCAACTCCACCTCCCCATCCCCCCCTCCCCCGGCTCGGGGGGAGTGTCCCAGCAGCTGCTGGGGGGAGGAGAGTGGTGCCACTGGCAGGGATAGCTGCTGCCTTACCCCGCCGCTTCTTCCGCTTCTCCCCGTCTTCTCCAATCTCCCCCTCGTCCTCTTCATCCTCCTCTTCAGAATCGCTGCTCTCAGAACCAGAGATCTCCTCCCCTAGGAGAGAGGATTGTGCTTGTTGATGGGCTGTGCCTCAGCTCCCCTCAGCTCTGACAGCAGCATGTCCAACCCCAGCCCTGCTGGACGCCACCACAGGGGCAGCTGCAGGAGTCACCAGCTGCTGAGCACACAGACAATGGGCACAGCTCAGGGAGCTGCAGAGAGTCCAGAGGAGCAACTGAAGGCTGGGAAGCCAGAGTGTACATGGTGAACCTCAGGCAGGGGCTCTTCCTGGGAAACAAAGCATCCTTGCACTGCTGAAGGGTTAAGCCAGACTGTTTTCCTAGCAGGATCTCCCCAGACCTTTTCTTTGGTGGGAAAGGGTCAGATGAACAAAGTTCACAGACCTGCTGCTTAATTATCTGTATACATGAAGCTGCTAATTAAGAATAACGTCTGATTTCACAAATGTTTGTCATTGCTGACACAATGCTCAGATATTTCAGGCTGAGTTTGGAAACCAAACTGGATAGAACCCAACATTCAACACCCTGACCTCCCAGCAAACATAAGGCTGTTCCTCCTGCAGCTTAGAACCTAAAATTTAAGAAGTCACCCTCGGCCCACCAGGGATGAAACAGCTACACCCAACTCCAGACCCCTGAAGAAAGAGCTGCTGGTTATTTCCTGCTTCCCCTGGATGGGGCAGACTCCAAACAGCAAGTCCTGCTGGAGCTGCTGCTACAGCTGCCCTGTGCTGTGAGCACCACGCTGGAGAGTGACGTGGTGCCAAGGTCACCATCTCACCACCAGCCCTCTGGCAGGGTCCCACCATGCTGAGGGACTAAGTGTCACAAGGCCATCAAGTTATGTCTTCAATACTTTCTCTCTGCAGCATTTGTAAGTCAGCTCCAGTTCTAGCTCCACAAATTTGGTTAATTTTTCTTCTGAAACATGCATCCTTCCTCCTCAAAGGAGGAGGACACGTGCTGTTAACAAAAGGTCCCATTTTAACTCCCTACACTGTGCCCAGAGCTCTCCTGCTCCCCAGGGGAGCCCGGGCACACTGCTCAGCCCAGAAGCCACCACTTATCCTGGTGCCAAGTGCCACCTAGTGCCAAGTGCAGGCAAAGCCAGGCCCTGCCAGCACCCGCTGACCCCTCCTGGAACCCAGGAGGGGCAAACAAAGCCAGGACCCTGGCCCACACCAGCCACCAGACTCCAGTAACACATCCTCAAGCAACAAAACATGGTCACACCAAGAGAATGAGTGTTGGTAACCTCACCTTCTTCCAGCTTCTTCTTCAGCTCTTCAATCTCCTTCTGGAACTGGCGGAGCAGAGCATCCTTGGGGTCCTCGTTGATCCTGGCCTTGTTCTTGATGTTCTTGGCTCTGTTGGCATACCTGAGGGTGCTGATGGTCTCGTCATAGTTGTAGTCTGCTGGCCCAATGTTTGCACACTGTGACACACCAGAAGCACCAGTCACTGCAGGGCACTGCCAGCCTGCACCACCACCCACTGGGGCCCCACCAGGCTCACCCTGCCACTCCTCCCCCAGCTTTCCTGCTCTTGGCTGCCCACCCAAGCACAGCTTCTGTTTGGTCTTACACACACGGGTACATTTGCCCCATGTTTAGAACCTCATCTGCACAGAGGCAAAGAGAAAGGGCAGAGAACCATCCCCAGAGAAGGCTCTCCAAGCTGCAAACAGCTCTGAAATGAAGAGCTCAACCCCAGGCTGCTCTCATGGCAGAGTCAAACCCAGCTCCAGAAACAGCCTTCTCAGCTCACCATCATGGTTTTGGAGTTGCCCCCCAGGGAGTCCTGGAGGAGGCGTGTGAGTTTGGAGTTCCTGTAGGGCACGTGGGTGCTCTTGCCATCCACCAGCGCCGAGATGACATTGCCCAGGGTGGAAAGAGAGAGGTTGATCTTAGTGGCCTCCTTCAGCCTCTGCCCCGTGGCTCCAGTTTTTGCCTGTCTTTCTGAACCCTGGAAAGGAGGCAGGAGTTACAGCAGATCCTCTAATACATCTCTTTCCTCTCAACAAGATGGGCTACACCTGAAGTTTCACTAGCAGCCACATCACTAACACCTCAGTCAGCATTAGAGAACCTGGCCAAGTACCTCACACATTGTTAAAGGGAGAAATCAAGCAGGTCATAACTGAAGCTTTCAGAGCCAGTAAATTCTGGCTTGCTCCAAGTAATGCAGCTGGGAAAATGGAGATTTCATCCCCATGAACAGAAGTGTTACCCAGCAGTTACTAGGCATCTCAGCTGGAGCTGCTAGACACCATCTCCAGCCCTTCCTATCAGCAGATCAAGGGAGAAAAGCAGCACTGCAGTTATTTTAAAGAGCTTCACAGAGCAACCTAAAAACACATCACATAAATAATGCTGATGTGTAGGCATTGAAGGCCTTTAGTCTCCCCTTTCCTGCATGTTCTCCAAGGAAAGACTCTCAGTGTAAAGTCTGGCCTAAAGACATCTTACCAGCACAATTCCATTGGTTCAAAGTGAGTGAGAGGGCTGGGGGAAGCAGCAAGTGAAAGACTGCACGGCCACAACCCCCTAAAAAACTAAACCAGCCTCTTGCAGAGCCCCAGTTCTGCTACCCAGGGCACTCCTGCCAATGTGATTCATCCATTTCATGAGTCATTTATAGCAGGAAGAGAGCCCTTTTACTGCAGCAGGCTCTGGGCACACTGAGGAGCATTCCTGGCACACCTCTGATGCAAACACAGCACAGAAGCCAACGTCAAGCAGAGCTCTGGGTTTAGCTGAGGAGCAGGGGACACGCTCTTCACTGTTTCAGCAGCTAGGGTGTGATCAGCAGTTGGGGTGTGACCAGCAGCACCCATGGGGTGTCAGGGCAGACTTGGGGGGTCCTACTCACAGCCAGGTCCACGAGGTGCAGCTTGCCCATGCGCACGTGCATGTTGCCATCCACCCCCTTCTCACTGCACTCGATGGTGATGGTGAAGATGGCGTGGGAGCGAGAGCTGTGCTCGTTCATGTTGGTGGCACCCACAGACCCTGCCAGAGAGAGAGAGAGCAGGGAGGCCTTCAGAACTCCTGGAGCACTCTTCCTGCTCCCCAAGGAGGCCTGTCCCCATCTCTTTACCCATCCCTGTTGTTCAGAAGGTGTAAGAGGGGTGATCAGACTCAGCAGCAAAGGGCACTCGTGGTGCAGCTTCAGTGCCCACGTCTCCAGGCTGGACAAGCAGTGTCACAGCCTGCTGGAGCTCAAAGCCAACCAGACTCCCACCCCAAGGGCAGCACTAGCTCTCATCCTTTAAGGCTACAAAGATCAGTAGGTGGTCCCCCAGGACAGCTGGGTCACAGCAATCCACACCCAGGTCAAAACTTCAGGTCATAAAAGGAGCTGAGTTCAACTTGAGAAGTCTTCTGGGAAATAATTCACCTCCTGCACACTGCAACTTCAGTGCCCACATCTCAGCCTGGACAAGCAGTGTCACAGCCTGCTGGAGCTCAAAGCCAACCAGACTCCCAACCCCAAGGGCAGCACTAGCTCTCATCCTTTCCTTTAAGGCTACAAAGATCAGTAGCCTGAGGCACCCACAGGTGGTCCCCCAGGACAGCTGGGTCACAGCAATCCACACCCAGGTCAAAACTTTGGGTCATAAAAGGAGCTGAGTTCAACTTGAGAAGTCTTCTGGGAAATAATTCACCTCCTGCACACAGCACAGCACCCATTGTTGTCCACCCTGCTCAGGACTGAGGCAGGAAAGGAGCAGGACACACACCAGCAGTCCCAAAACACTGGCTGTCCTCAGTGCACCCTCCCCTGGGCTGTTTCCCCAGCAGCACTGGCCAAGGCAGGAGCCTTCTCCACCTGCCCTGGCACAAGGGGCTGGGGATGAGCTGTCCTCCTGGCTCTGCTGAGCTGAACAACCTCTCCAGCATCAGCACTAGGATCTCTTACTGTGGTCTCCCAGCCAGAGTGAGCTCTAAACCTGCCCACAGCAAGGCTACGTACGGTTCTTGTGGCCCAGGGTCATGATTCTGTCCATGTCATCTGCATTGTTTACAACATAAGCTGAAAGGTCTTTGATATAAACTCCCACGTCAGGTCTCTCTTTAACCTAAGGGAGAAACAGTTTAGACTGAGCATCCTTCAGAGTTCCAGGACAGCAATTTTTCAGTGGTGCTGTAACAGGACAGGGATCTCCTCCTCCAGGTTCTGATTCTGGCTGCTGACATGGTTTATGTTTAAACCAAGCAGCTAAGGGATAAAGACTCATACAGGATGAGTCTTTATATAATATTCCCCTGGTGACAAATAGTGGCTTCAAAGCTCAGTCTCCAGTTCCCAGGAAGTCTGTCCAGGTGCCTTTGGGGCAGAACCTCATGCACAGAAGTGACTCTGATGGAACAGCAAGTCCCTTCCTATACCCCTGACCAAGCAGAGAAAACTGAGAAGCCAGCAGTGACACCCAGCTGCTGTATCTCCAAGGAAGGAACACATGCTGAGGAGCCCAACCTCCCCCTTCAAGTGCTTCTCTGGCCTCTGTAACCCTGCTGAGTGATGCCAAGCACACCCTGGCTCACCTCCAGCCTCTGTGTCTGGTCCTTCCCCAGCAGGTCCCGCACCTCCTCGTTGTAGATTTCCAGGTAAGACACACGAACTAAGAACCTGCAGACAGTGGGGGTGGTTTTCTTAGTGAGCTCTTGGTTGGAAGACCAACAAACACCATCTGAGGGCACAAAGAAAAGCCAGCAGCACACCAAGACCACCCTGCCACCCCCCAGGATGTGCTGAAGCAGGAGTCACTCTGCCAGGGGCACAGGGACCGTCCCAGTTGTCAGTGTCAAGGTCAAGCTCCTGCTACAGATGGACATGGGAAAGACAAGCAATGAAACCCTTTACCTTGTATCCCCCTCTGCCTTGGCAATGTGACCAAATATATGGGCAAAGGAGTTGGGAATGATGCCTCTGAGCTCAGGAACTGCTCGGACCCCCTCCATGGTGAAGGTTTTCCCTGTTCCAGTCTGTCCATAGGCAAAAATAGTACCTGAAGGGTAAGAAGAGAGATGAACAAGCTGCTAACTGTGGGTTTACTTCATCCCCTCTAAGCCTGATGGCACTAAACACCTCTGTTGTTGTGGAGTTGAAGCTTTGCACCCACTGCAGCAGAGGTTTAGAGCAACAGCAGTGCTGGACAGCCACAGCACAGAGGCTGAGCCACTGTTTGATCCAGCCTGCAAGGCACCAGGAGACAGACAGCTTAACAGCAGAGTGGCTGAAGTGTGGAGGGCTGGGACACTTGGGGCTCACACACTAATTAAGGCAAGCCCAATTAATAATATGGTCAGTTAAAGGAAGATTATATACCAGCTACAAACCCAACTCCTGCTAGCACTCCAAGACACATCACAAACAGTGTGAGGCTTCCACAGCACAAGCCCAGGTCTGAACCTGCAGAAGCAGCTCCAAGCTGGCCTAGAGAGTCAGCCTGCAGCAGATCCAGAAAATGGGCTGAGATCCCAGACTCTGGCACTCCAGAAATATCCTGAAGGTTCAGCCTAGCACTGCTGAACACTCAGGTATTCACTGTCAAGCCATGGACACTGCAGTTTGGAACAGCTCAGCTGGAAGAGACCTACCCTGCCCATCTAGTCCAAACACCTGAGCAGTGCAGGGATGGCAAAGAGTTAAAGCAGGTGAAGGGCATTGTCCAAATGCCCCTGAAGCACTGACAGGCTTTGGGCACCCCTCCCCAGGAAGCCTGCTCCAGGCTCTGACCACCCTCTTGGCAGAGCAACACTTCCTCACACCCAGCCAAGGCCACTCATCCCATTTCTGAACCATGAATTTTCATCTGGCTGTGTCAGCACAGGAGCTTATCAGGCATTTCAGCAGCCCTTAAGCCCTTTGTGGTCTGCTCACAGCACACTGTTATGGAAAGCAGCACCTTGCTTCCTTGGGAGCATCTGCTTTCCTCCTCACAGCACATTTCCATGCCACATAAATCATGATCATGCTCTTCCTGGCTGTAAGCAGCAAAATATTAGCTCTGGGGCAGGGTAGATGTGTTTAACTAGTCACCTGAGCTTAAACTAGACAAGCTGAGAGAACACACAGCAGTGATATAGACAAGTTTGGTCATGGAATTGCTCACTGCAGGGCTGTGGGCAGCTGCTTACTGGAACTGCACAGCAAAGAGCTGCTGATGGGACAAAGGGTCTGTCTCTGGCAAGATACAGAATGAAAACACAGAGCTAAGTGACCTCAGCTGAGCCTCCTTCATCACCATGTCCCTCTGTTAGTGGTCACAGCAGGTACAACCACGGAGTGCTCAGAACAGCAAGTCCCCTCAGGCTATTTTCAGTCACAACAGAAACACAGGGCTGCATCCTCAGGAGGTGAAACTC